CCAGATGTCCTTCAACCGGTGAATGAATAAACAAATTGTGGTAACATCTCTACAACAGAATACCAGTCAGAGGTCAAAAGGAACAAACTGTTGATTCACACAACATGGATGAATCTTAAATTCGTTTTACTTAGTGAAAGAAACCAAACATAAAAGGCCTCCATACTGTATGATTCTATTTAAAGGATGCTGTAGAAAAAGCACAACCGTAAGGAAGAAGAACAAATCAATGGTTGCCAGGGATTAAGAGTTGGGGAAAAGGAGTTGATTACAAAGAGAGTGAGAGGCAGTTTGGGGAGTGATGGGACTGTGTTAGATTTGACTGTGCACCTGTCAAAACCCATGGAACTGTGCACCACAAAATTTCACTAAAATCAACAAGGATGTTTGTGTGTGTGTGTGTTATTGGGGGGAGTGCCCAAATGATACAAACTGTGACAGATGAATCAAATGGTATTGCAAACTTACCCCATAATCCAGGGGTCCCCAACCCCCAGGCCACGGGTCGGTACCAGTCCGTAGCCTGTTAGGAACTGGGCCACGGAGCAGGAGGTGAGCAGAGGGCAGGCAAGCATTACTGGCTGAGCTCTGCCTCCTGTCAGGTCAGCAGCAGCATTAGATTCTCATAGGAGCATGAACCCTGTTGTGAACTGTGCATGTGAATGATCCAGATTGCGCACTCACTCCTTATGAGACTCTTAACTAATGCCTGATGATCTGAGGTGGCACAATTTCATCCCAAAACCATCCCCCACTCCCCGCCCCAGTCTGTAGAGAAGCTGTCTTCTAAGAAACTGGTCCTTGGTGCCAAAAAGGTTAGGGACTGCTGCAATAACCATAGTGAAGTGGATGTGGAATTAGCTGACCTATCAGTAACTTTGGAAAACAGTGTTTTGACAGGATGCTGTAAGGCTGAAGACAAAACCTCTAGTTGGTGTACTTGTTTCTCATAGGGGCGTGGGTGAGCAATCTCAAAACTGTGTATATTCTAGGAAGAAGTTACAAATAAGGAAGGATGGTACTAGAGTTATCCTGTGGTTCTGGATCAGGGTTGGAGGTGTCAGCATGAACTAGGGCTGTTGGTTTTTTCAGAGAGAGAGAAATGGGGGTCTATGCATATATAACACATCTGTTTCCTAAGTCTGCCCACAGAGGGCCTTAGAGCAGGGACACCTGCATCAGTAACCAGAGCCAGGCTGAGATACTGGATCCTAAGAGCTCCTCAGGGAAGGGTTTGGTTCCAGGGCTGGGGTAGGGCAAGTGAAAGGTGAGTGATGGGAGCCTGTCAGATGTCAGAAGGGCAGATGCCCGCCAAAAAGTGCTCTGTTGGCCAAAGCTGGAGCAGTTCTAGCCACAGGATAAACAACAGTAGTAATGGATTATAACCAAAAAAGAAAAGAAATAGCCATCCATTTAGGCTGATATCAATACATAAATGAATGCATAAGTAAGGGATAAGGAACAGCTCTTCCTTGCAGGATAATTCCAGTTAAGGAAGGAATAAGGGAATAAGGGAAATAGAAAGCCACCATGATAATTGTTATAAGCACAGTCCCTTGGCAGATGCAGCAAGGTGAAATCTTTCTAATAGATGAAAGAATTAGAAGAAATAGAATATCTGCCAAGTCTCCCCCGAAATAGCTCTTCATTACAAAGGGAACAATACTTTACAGTGGAGAAACCTGGCAGACACTGCCCCAACCAAGAGCTCAAAGGTGACATCGTATTGGCAGCAGGTACCTGTGGTGCTGTGTGAATGGCACATCACCTGTGGTGGTTTTCCCTAAGTTGAATCAGGAGAAAACAGCAGACAAACCCAATTTGAAGGATATTCTACAAAATAATTGACCAGTACTCTTCAAGGTGATGAGAGGAGACTGCAAACTCTTCTGGCATGAGGGGCCATGGAAGTGTGTCAGCTAAGCACAGCGTGGATCCTGGACCGGGCCCAGGAGCAGACGGGCTCTGGTGGGCGGCCTGGCGAAACAACAAAGCCTATGGTTGAGCTGGGAGTACCATGCCAGAGTTCCTCTTGTGGTGTTGATCCTTGTTCTGTGGCTGCACGAAGGTGGGTGGAAACTTGGGGACACCGTGTGCCCTGCCTCTGAAACTCTTATGCAAGTCTAAAATCGTCTTTAAAAGTCTTTTTAAGTTATCACTAAGAAAATTAATAGGCAAGCCAGACATCACGTAGTCTGACTGTGCTGTCAGTCGTGTCTGGGGCCAGCATCAGCACAGGGCTCGCAATAGTGGCTTACCTCTTAGCTCCCAAGGAGAGGCAGAGTTGAGAGCCTCCCTGGTGATTGACTTAACAGCTATATGGGGCTTTCTATGGTGTCTTGATTGGGTATGTGTTACAGGAGGTACACAGGTCAGGACTCCCTGAACTGTATTTAAAAGTCTATGCTGCTGTGTATGAATTATGCCTCAGGGGAGAGAGAAGAGAACTTATGCTCCATTTGGAATTTATCTTGGAGCGTGCTGTGAGGAACAAATCTGTTTGTGTCTTTGTGCAGTAGCTGTCCAGTTACTGCAGCAGTACCACTAACTGAAAAGCCCCTTCCCTGCTGTGTTGAGATATCTCTTTTTCCCATACTAAATTTCCATGGGCAGTTGGGACTACGGGGTTTTCTCTCTGTCTTCCTGGACTTCTCTCATCACACTGATGTAAACAGAGAGGCTTTATACTGCGTTTTCATGTCAGCTAGGGCTAGAGTCTTCACCACTGCAGCTCTTACTCAGAGTAGTCTGCTTATTTGTGCTTACTGGTTCTTCTTCACCTTTTATTTTAGATACAGAGGGTCTATTTACAGATTTGTTACATGAAAATATTGCATGAGGCTGGGGTTTGGAGTACAGATCCTGTCACCTAGTTAGCATAGTACTCAATAGGTAGTTTTTTTAACCCACCCCCACTCCCTCTACCTTCTAGTAGTCCCCAGTGTCTGTTGTTCCCATATTTGTGTCCATGTGTGCTCAATGTTTAGCTCACATTTATAAGTGAGAACATGTGGCATTTGGTTTTCTGTTCCTGCATTAATTTGCTTAGGATTAAGTCAAGCTCCATCCATGTTGCTGCAAAAGCTGTGATTTTATTCTTTTTTTATGGCTGTGTAGTATTTCATGGTATATGGGCACCACATTTTCTTTATCCAGTCTACCATTGATGGGCACCTAGGTTGACCCTGTGTCTTTACTATTGTTAATAGTACAGCGATGAACATATGAGTGCGTGTGTCTTTTTGGTTGAATGATTTATTTTCTTTTGGATATATACCCAGTAATGGGGTTGCTGGATAGAATGGTACGTCTATTTAAGTTCTTTGAGAAATCTCCAGACCACTTCCCACAGTGGCTGGACTAATTTACATTCCCGTCAACAGTGTATAAAGCATTCCCTTTTCTCCTCAGCCTTGCCAGCATCTGTTGTCTTTAGACTTTTTAGTAATGGCCATTCTGGCTGGTGTCAGATGGTATCTCATTGTGGTTTTGATGCATTTCTCTAGTGTGGTACTGAGCCTTTTTCATGTTTGTTGGCCACTTGTATATCTTTGAGAAGTGCCTGTTCATGTCCTTTGCCCATTTTTTAATGGGGTCATTTGTTTTTTTGCGTAAGTTCCCTGTAGATTCTGGATATTAGGCCTTTGTCAGATGCATAGTTTGCAAATAATTTCTGTCATTCTGTAGGTTGTCTGTATTCTCTGTCAGTAGTTTCTCTTGCTGTGCAGAAGCTCTTTCATTTAATTAAATTCTACTTGCCAATTTTGTTTTTTGTTGCAGTTGTTTTTGGGAACTTAGCCAAAAATTCTTTGCCAAGGCCAATGTCAAGAAGAGTGTTTCCTAGGTTATCTTCCGGGATCTTACGTTTTGAGGTCTTACGTTGAAATCGTTAATATATTTTGAGTTAATTTTTGTATATGGTGAAAGATAGAGGTCTGGCTTCAATCTTCTATATATGGCTAGCCAGTTATTCCAGCACCGTGTATTGAATAGGATGGTCTTTCTCCACCGCAGTTTTTGCTGGCCTTGTCGAAGATTGGATGGTTGCAGGTGTGTGGCTTTATTTCTGAGTTTTCTGTTCTGTTCATTGGTCTATGGGTCTGTTTTTGTACCAGTACAGAAGCTGTTTTGGTTACTGGGGCTTTAAAGTATAGTCTGAAGTTGAGTGTGATGCCAGTGTGATGCCTCTGGCTTTATTCTTTTTGGTTAGGATTGCTTTGGCTATTTGGGCTCTTTTTTCATTCCATATGAATTTTAGAATAGTTTCTTGTTCTTCTTAAATGCATTTTACAATTAATTTGTTTAGCTCTAAGAAAAAAACATGATTTTATATTGCAATAGCATTAAATTTAATGTTTTTTAAAAAAATATGTTTCATCTACTTCTAACTTATTGCAGAGAGTTTTATAAAATTGCCTGTAATGATTTTTTAATGGTTTTCTTCATTTTTATAAATCAAACATCCTTGTAACCACACCCAGGTCAAGGAATAGAACTTGATCACAATCATCCCAGAAGCACCCCCCACATGTCCCATTTCTATTATAATCTACTTCCTCTCCCAAAAAATAACCACTTCCCAAACTCTTATGGTAATCATTTCCCTAATCTTTATAGTTTTATCACCAAGTGTATATCCCTAGACACTATAGTTTAGTGTTGTTTTATTCTTAAAATTTGATATGTTTTTAAAGTCTCTTTTAATCTACACACTTTTCTCTCTATCCCTTTCTTTTTCTTATCTTTTACAATTTTTAAATTTTCTTCTCTTAGCACTTGTAACTTTCTTTTTTTTTTTTTCTAATCAGATAGTTAGTGGTTTGTTTTGATTGATTATTTTCTCTTAAGAGCCAGCTTTTGGATTTGCTTCTTAGTTCTATTCTTTTTCTACTTAATAATATCTGCTTTTATTTGTAATAATTCCACCCTTTCTTTTGGTTCACTTATTCTTTTTCTGGCTTTCTCAGTTATATGTTTAAATAATTTATTTTTATTATTTAAATTTGTATTGATATAGGTATTTAAGCTATAAAGTTTCTTGTGACATTTTCTGAGTCCTATACATTTCTCTATATATTTTCCCAGCCTTTTATAGCTGTATATCTTATATGCAGTATGGTGCTTGATTTTGCTTTGTGAACCGATCCAAGACTGTTTTCCGTTTAATAGGTGAGCCAAGTCCGTTTTTTACATGACAGATAACAAGGAACCACCTTGTTCTATTTTATTTGCTTTTACCCTTTTGGTATTTAAGAGGGCTTTCTTGTTTTCTTTTTTTTCTTTCCTTCTTTTTTTTTTTCCCCTTTTACCCTAATGCCTTTATAGCAAACCCTTAGATTCCTTTGTTGGCTCCCCACAGTACCCAATACTGCAGTTAGCTGATGGACACCCCACTCCCGGTTGGCCCCTGCACATCTTCTCCCCATCCCTACCACTTCTCTGGTGGTGGTTCTTTGTCTGCATTGTCTGAGCTGGTAACCATGGCATGCTGCACCTTTATCACCATCATGTTCCAGCAGCTCCACAAATAAATACAGACCACCCGGCAGCCACACCTTTGCCTCTGCCTCTAGTCATTTTGGTTTCCGGAGCTTATTCTTTAGTGGGTCGTCCCTCAGCTCCTGGTCATCATACTTCCTGTGTTTGTGTGTACTCATAAAAAATATGTGTGACTTTTATCCTTGATGGTCACTATTTAGATGTTAAATCTTTGGCTTGTATTTTTTTCCTTTGAATATCTTAAATATGTTACTGAACCTATTCTATTCTGGACCTGTAATCCCTACTGCAAAGCCACTCACAAGTCCAGTTTTCATCATTTCTGATTTTACAGACATGTATTCTTAAGGGGGAGGAATTTATAGAACTGAATACCATGTGAATACCCTAGTCATGAGGTGGCTGATTTTGTCTGTCCAGGTAAGATGGTGCGGGTAGGGGGTGTGGTGGTCCAAGTGGCACACGCAGGAAGTCACAGGATGTGGGAGGCATTGTTGTGTGTGCCCTGTGCACAGAGTGTGTGATGCCCTTTGATGGGTTTGCAGCCTCTTCTGGTGGACTTCCTGGCACTACCCTCCTTTAAGGTTGCTGCATCTGAAGCTCTTTAAGACGGCGTTTCCCTTCGGCCAGATTGCACTCTGTGCACAGTGCAGTTGCTTCTCCCTGTGGAGTGAGATGGGCCCACATTGTCTGTGGCTCCACCTGGCCTTGGAGCTTATTGCTCTCTGCTCTGCTGCTCCCTTCATGTAACGAGGGTGTGTTAAGAGTCTGTAAGTGTGTTGTGTTAGATATTTAGGAAGGGAATGTTAATCCTAAAAATAGGTTTCCCATCTTTTAACTTATATAAAATTGACTGGACTTTTTCTTCTGGATTATCTTTTTATAATTAGAGACTAATAATACACTGATATGAAGTAGCTTTGTATTAGGAAAATGGATAAATGTAAACATTCGCCTACCAGGAGAAAATAATATGACCTGATTGGAAAATGTATGGATAAAAAGCTAGGTTTAGTAGGTAGCCATTGATGAACAGAGTAAGTTAAGACAACCATTGGGGATTGTTAGAGCAGAGATTGTAGCTCCCTTCTGAGGAGGAGCTGACCAAAATGTAGTCCAACCCCTGCTTGACAGAAGAGGTACAGCCAAACTGATCCAAAGGAAATGTCAGAGGAGGCCAGGTGGGGATTATCAACAACTGTATTTGAGGGTTTGTTCCTCTTTGTTTTGGTTTTGGTGAAATTATCACATTTTGCATGTTACATTACCTTGGCACTTGGAATCATGGCATTTATGCTGAGATTTTTTTCTCCCTGACGTCTCTTCTGTTTGATAGCATGTATGTACCTTTCATAATCAATATCAAACTGAAGTAACTTAAAAAGATAGATAATTGTATTCATTTTCTAGGGTTCCATAACCACAAACTCAGTGGCTTAAAACCACAGAAATGTCTGTCCTCACAGTTCTGGAGGCCACAAATCCAAAATCAAGGGCTTGGCAGGGTTGCTTCCTAATGGCAACTCAGGAAAGTTGAGTTTATGAGTATGTATTATTTTTTACTACATGTAGTATAGTACTTTAATAATTATTAAAACTTAAGTCATTCACAAATATCATTTTTCTTACTGGTAATAAAAGTTTTCTGACATATCTTACAGCAATATAGTTAAGAACTGATGCCCTTGATTAGCAGTTTTAAAAACCAGAGGCTTACCCTAGCCTGTCTTACTTTCCTAGACTTGTGTGGAAATGATTTGAAGATAATGGCCCATAACACCACATTCCTGTAAAGCCTGTGCTTAGAACCCTAGAGTGGTCTGGGAGATGAAGATTAAGACCTTGTTGTCCATCTCTTAAGGAAAATACCATCAGAGGAAAATGCAAATCTTGTTATAGGTCATCACGAGAATGAGGATTATAATGTATAGAAATTGGGGCTTAATTATGGGAAATAGTTCTGTTCTTGGCTCTAGTTTACTTCTGTTTGGAGTTGTTTTGTTGATTCTTCTCTATTCTCTTCTCTTCCTTTTCTTGAGTGGAAAGGAACTTGGGAAAGTCATGCGCTGGCCTTGGGTTGTCAGAGGAAACTTGGAATGTCATTGCCTTTTGGGCACATTTGCAAGCAAGGGAGTGACATATGCTGTGGTGTGGCCTGGGTGTGGGGAGTTGAGGGCTGTTAGCTCCATCATTCAGACATGTTTTAAGTTGATGGAAACTCTGTGTTTCTTACAAGTGCGTTTGTGCCCTGTATTTTCAGCTTGTGTTGTATGAGGTTCTATTCTTTGTTTTTAACACTTCCCGCCCCCACCCCATCCCTCCGACATGCACCTCAGACAGCATGAACAAGACAAGCTGCTACTTCCTCTCCTCTCTTACACATTGTCTGTTTATCTTTAATTACAACAAAATACACATAGCATAAAATTGCCATCCTAACCATTTTTAAATGTACGAGTTCAGTGCTGTTAAGTACATTCACGTTATTGTGCAACCGTTACTACCATCCATCTCTGGAACTTTTTCATCTTCCCAAACTGAAACTCTGTCCCCATTAAGTGCTAACTTTTCATTCTCCAGCACCCCCAGACCTAGTAACTGGCTTTCTACTTTCTGTCTGTATGATTTGACTTTTCTGAGTACCTCATATAAGTCACATCAGACACTGTCCTTTTGTGACTGTCTTATCTCACTCAGCATAATGTCCTCAAGTTTCAGCCCTGTTGTAGCATGTGTCAGCATTTCCTTTTTCAGACTGAATAATATTCCATGTTGTGTATAGTGTACACAACAGTTTGTTTATTCGGCCACTGATGGACATGTGGGTTGTTTCCATGTTTAGCTGTTGCAAGTAATACTGCTGTGAACGTGGGTATACAGGTATCTTTCATTCTCTGCTGGGTGTACCGGTATCTTTCATTCTCCGCTTTCGGTTCTTTTGAAAATATACCCAGAAGTGAAATTGCTGGATCATATGGTAATTGTATGTTTAGTTTTTTGAAGAACCTCCATACTGTTTCCTATAGCAGCTATACCATCCTCCATTTCCACCAACACTGCACGAGGGATCCAGTTTCTCCACATCCCTGTCAACACTTGTTACTTTCTTTCTTTCTTTCTTTTAATTTGCCAGTAGCCTCATAATGAGTGTGAGGTAGTATCTCATTGTAGTGTTAATTTGCATTTACCTAACAATTTGTGATATGGAGCATCTTTTCATGGGCTTGTTGGCTGTTGTATCTCTTCTTTGGAGAAATGTCTGTTGAAGGTGTTTGACATTTTTTAATCAAATTGTTGGGCAGTTTCCCTTGTTTTTAAGTCAGAGTAGGTGATGTTTGTCTTGCTTATGAAACAAAGGTTATAAAAAAAGAACATGTTTGCTATGAAATGTAGTTGATACATGCAGAATGGAAAGATTTATAAATTAAATACTCCTTTATTAACATTTTAATGTGTTGAATTTAAATTTCAGAAGCATTCATCTTTCTTCTCTACTTGTACATTTTTGTTTACCTGACAGTGTAAAACCCACAACCCCAAAATAATGGCTTTTTCCCCGTTTAAAATACTTTGTAAAAATAGTAGCCTAGTTACTGGTTTCTCTAAAGTAGCCATTTTCCCTTGGTTGTCATTTGTGAGCCCAGGCTTAGTCCTCAAGTCTAACATAGACTCCCCAAGGCCCTAACACTGAAGTTCTCTGAGCCCTACCACTGCCCATGTGGGCCCAAGAAGTGTCCCAGCAGTGCCCAAGAAGGTCACCTCCACCTGTGGAATCCACAGTGTGGGCAGCCCCCAGGGAGCCACAGCCATCTAGGCCCAGATTCACAGGAGGACGCGGTTACTGCAAGTATCTGAACCTGGCCCCACCACCTATGGGCAGAATTGATTCCAGCTCGGTGGTCCATGGGACGTCTTTAGGTTCACCGTGCTTTTTTGTCCCACCCTCACGTGTTGGAGCTCAGCTGCATGGAGTGTCCTTCTCCCTGTACCTGTGAGATTAGTCAGCAGTCCTTTCTCCTTCCGTATGCTGTCTTTATTTCTGCGACACTATTTCTGGAGAACATTGTATCTGTGCTTTTCCTTTGATATGTCTGTAATTTTCATTAGAAAAGCCCTTTTAGATTCTAAAGCTTCTACATTCAGTATTTCAATCAATGATAACAAACTGGTATAAGACTAAATATGAAATACAAACATCAACACATTTCTATAAATTGGTGTTACAATGTCTGCTACAAAAAGTTCAGTTGTTTGTATGTTTTTCAAATGCGCTTTGCTTGTCTTGATGATTTACAACTGCTGGCACTGCTGTTTAAGTCTGTTCTGACAGTGAGAAATTGACTCATTTGGCCAAGTCAGCTGTTTTTACTGAAAGTGAATACTGGTGAGTAGAAAGGAGCTTGTATACAATTTTCTCGTCAAAGAACAATGAGCGGGAAATAAGCAGTTTTAGTTCCTTGGATTTGAGCATCACTCTCGCATGCCTCCACCAACCAGCTTGTCTCCACAGAACTTCCTTCCTCACTTTAGACTGAAAATCTGTTATCAGTGTGTGGAAAATAAAAATTTTACACATCTTTAGTTTTGAAGATATGGATTATTACTATTTACAGGTTTTTTTTTTTTCACTATAAGGAAGAAATTTTTAAAAAAGTAAAAGGTGTTCACATTGTCTAGTTATTGCCTTATGATTTGATTTTCTTGTTTCACGAAGAAGAAAAACTTTTAGTTAAATGTGTTTAAATAGTAAAAATATACATGTCACTTCTCCTGGTTCCACTTAAATGTATTAACATGTATTTGGTTGGTGCTTAATAAAAAAATGTTCAGCGAATAATTAACTTCAGCTAAACCCTTAAAAATATAGGGAGTAAACAGAAATATTGAGTGGTTACTCAGCATGGGGTAAGGGATACAGCAAGTCATTGGTCAGTATCGGGTATCATCATATTCTTACCATCTTTTTTTCTAAAGTTTTAGTAGTTGTTTTTAAAAAATCTCTATGTTTTAATAAAGCATTTCGATGTTTGAAACTACCTTGGATAAGCATATCAAGACCCTTGAGAGGTTCTAAAACATGTTCAGCACTTTCCGGTATAATATTCTCAAAGAACCAGGACACATCTTATTTCTCAAAATGAAAAAAAAAAGTATTAGACATTACCCTTGTAATTTCAAGCCCACAATCTGTCACTTTGAAGTGTTTGTATCGTTTTACAAAAGAAAAGCCAAATGAAGATATCCCTGTAAAAATATTTTAATAGAATATATCTTTATTTCAGTATCTTAAATAGTGAAGATGGAGAAATATTCAATAATGAAGAGCATGAATATGCATCCAAAAAAAGGAAAAAGGACCATTTTAGAAATGACACAAATACTCAAAGTAAGATCATTCTCATTAATTTTATTTTGTCGATTATGTTGAAATACTAAATTACTCTGACAATGCTATCTTATGAAATAAAAGGTGATACAAATATGTAAATAACAGCCCAGTATCCAGCATCACCCACTTATTTAGTGGTCAGACTTTTTGCAGCTCAACCGTTTCAGTGGGTAAGATGTGCAAAAAGAAAATAAGAGATGGCACAACCCACAAAACAGCCATGCATATGATCTTGAATTCAACTCATTCTTGAGCAGTGAGGCCAAACTGAGGGGTGTCCTGACTTGAGTTTCGAAGCGACTGAAGATTCAGAGCAGGAGACAGACATTTAGAGCTGTGTAGTTTAGGATGTTAGATGGCAGCAGGGGAAGGCTGGAGGTGGGACCTGTCTGTGAGAGGGCGTAGGGCTCTATCATGGCACTGCCTTGCAGTATATCCGTGAGTTACCAAGACACATGTTCGTCTATAGTAGGCTCCCGTACCTCAGGGGATAGACCTTCAGTGGATGCCTGAAACTGTGGATAGTACCGAACCTTATGGATACTATGGGTTTTTTTCTGTATATACACACTTATAATAAAGTTTAATTTATAAATTAGGCACAGCAAGAGATTAACAACAATAATAAAATGAAACAGTTATAGCAAGATGGCCGCCATCGCTCCTCTTGCACTTTGGGGCCATTATGAAGTATGATAAGGGTTCTCTAAACACAAGCACTGCGATACCTCAACAGTTGATCCGATAACCAAGACGGCTACTGAGTGATCAAGGGGCAGGTAGTGTAGGGCTCGCTTGACAAAGGGAGGATTCCCATCCCAGGCAGGACAAAGCAGGACAGTGTGAGATTTCATGACACCACCCAGAACGGCACAGAATTTAAAACTTAGGAACGGTTTATTTCTGGATTTTTCCATTTAATGTTTTCAAGCCAAAACTGACTGTGGGTAATTGAAACTGTAGAAGGTGAAACTGTGAATATGGGGGAGACTACTTTATGAAGAAGATAGGGTCACATGGAGAATACAGTTAGTGTGATTCTTGAAACTTTTAAGATTTATCTGAAAAATGTGTTTCTGTGGAGTACCATACAGAGCAATAGAAGAATAGAACTTTTTATTAGGGTACGTAGGAATTTAGTAATGTAATTGCATTTTATAATCATTTATGTCTTCATATGGCTTCAGTCGTTAATAATACTAATTTTCTTCTAAGTTACTAGGACTTGGTACTGTCTGAAATCATTGTTCATATCTTAAACTGATTTAAGAAACAAGGCAATTCTGTTTGCATTGAACCAAGTAAAAGCATTTCTTGTGAATATAGTAAGTCAGATAATTTTGTTAACATGTCCAATTATTTAAATTCCTTTAAAATCTTCATTTTTGAAATGATTTGCCAGATTTAAAAAATCAAGGTAATTTTTATTCTAGGTTTTTATCGTGAAAAATGGATCTATGTCCATAAAGAAAGCACAAAAGAAGTAAGTATTCTTTTATAAATAAGAGAGTATCTTGGATTGTTTCTGTTCAATGTGGAGTCACATTAAATACATTTATTAATAAAGTTGCATAAAACACATTTCTTTTGCAATATCAGATCTATGGTTCAAATTCTGACAGATAATAGCATATGAGGAGCTTTTGAGGTAGTGATTCTCCATTGTGTGTGCTTGCATGTGCGTGTGGTATGTGACTGTATTTGTGCATACATTGGTGTGTGTTGTATATATGGTGTGTATGTATGGTTGTGCATGTATTTGCACACATTGGTGTGTGGGATGTATGGTGTGTGTTAGCATGTGGTATATGTGTGCAGTGTGTGGTTCCTGCCTACCTGTACATATCTGAGTCAGCAGCAGGCCTATTTAAACCAAGCATGGACTCCTGCAGTCATACGCATTTTCTCTGTGTTAGCATGAACCTCTGATGCTGATGGGCGTGTGTCCTCCCTGTGGCATGTTTTGGAGCGTAGGACATCTGTGAGCCCCCTCATTCCACGTAAAGAGTGGCTAACATGAAATTAGTAATTGGGCTGGGTTTGCGCAGAGCCGTGTGAACTCCTTCCCTGCCTTTCTTTTCCCAAGTTAGGCTAAAGCTTTTTCATGAGCCATAAGACAAACCAGAGAGCTTCAAGCTGTTTCCTGTTTCTTTACTAGGATCAGGGAAGTTGAGTTCCTTTTATAGTCCTAGAAACTCTGCATTTGCTTTATTTTGCAACAATTGGGGAAAATAGGGAACTATTGTCTATCATCTGTTTTTTTAGGGTAAGTTAAATATTCCAGAAATGTTTATAGATGCTCTGAAGCTAGTCCAGCTTCCTAGAAACTGAAGGATTAGATACTGAGAAAGAAAACTTAATCTGTTTGGTTATGGTTAGTGGGTATAGAATGAATCAGATCCTTAATATATACTCTAATATACCTTTAGAAGATTGTTTGACAGAATCTAACCTAGTTTTTAAAAAACGAAATTTAGTGCTCATGAAAGACCATTAAATATTTCATCTGCTCTCTTGCCATCCTGATTACAGAGCAGAGGATCCCATCCAAGCTAGCATGTGCAGGAAAAGAGGATCTTATTGTGAGGCTATGGGAATGTTCCCTGGAATCCTAGGAACCGGATCCTAGAACCAGGTTGAGAGGGACCAGAACTAGGACTGGGCGCTGGTGTCCCTGCACCATGTCATATCTCCACACCGTCACCTGGTATAGAGCAAGTGCCTGCTGCTTATCCATGCTAGCTGGTGTCTCACCGCTCTGAGGTTACATGCTGTGGTTCTAGGTCCAGACATGCTCTTTGTGGTCTGCTCTGTGAATCAGATTTAATTTTCAGTTGTGAGATGGGTGGTGACCTTGGAAAGTGCCTGCTGCACCATCATGTAGAATTAAGAGAGAGAAATAAAATAGGAATATCAACTGTGAGGGATTTCAGATAATTATCTATATCAAAATTAGCATTTCCTTTCCCCCAGAGTTCCCAGGAAAATGTTTTCTGCGTAGCAGGCACTCAGTCAACATATTTGGATGTTTTAAATGAATTTCGTTGAGTTGTGCACACAGTAGGGCGATTGGGGTTGACGCACAGAAGCACATGAGCCTCTGAGTATATCAGCTATCAGAGACAAAGGTGCTGTGACTCCAGCTGCTTTCTCTAGGACATCTCAAGTCACCTGTTTGGAATTTGAGATCGATCATCTCATGTTTTTTATTATTGTTCTCCAGCTTATTTATCTCTACAACTTTGAAATGAAAATCTGTAGATTTTAAATATTTCAAATATGGAGGATGGAAATGGAGTTTAAAATGACTTCTGAAACCTAATGTGCTAATCTACACAAACCAGTATAGGATAAGGGTGTATCATGGCAGAAAAACATCTAAGAGAATAGCAGCAGTGTTTACAGTACTGAAAATAAATTGTTTCATTTTCTTCCTTTGGTTCTTGGACCTTTGGGTCTAATCACCAGTTTTTTTGGTGTTTTGGGTTCTTGGCATCCGTGCTCCCAGCCTGAAAGCTGCCCATGGTCACAACCAGCACTTGCCTTCAGCCCTCTCCATCCCAGTGCTGGTTTTCAGAGGCACCTTCTTGCTGCCGAAGTGCCTCTCCCAGCTGTGATCCTTGTGGTTGAGCATACTTCCAACCTGGGCAGTGCATGCCTCCCCCGCAGAGAAATCCTGTGTTTCAACTGTATATTTATAACACCTACATCCTTACAATGCAGCTAAGCACGTGATTTATGTATTTTTAGTTGCGTAGCCTAGAATAATCCAGTTTTTTTATGATCTTAGCCTTAACGTCATCCACACCCCAGTTTGTCCCCAGCAAAATAAACCAGCAAGATTTTTTTTTAAATTTTCTATTATACTTTAAGTTCTAGGTTACATGTGCACAACGTGCAGGTTTGTTACTTATGTATACATGTGCCATGTTGGTGTGCTGCACCCATTAACTCATCATTTACATTAGGTATATCTCCTAATGCTGTCCCTGCGCCCTCCCCACACCCCACGACAGGCCCCGGTGTGTGATGTTCCTCTTCCTGTGTCCAAGTGTTCTCATTGTTCAATTCCCATCTATGTGTGAGAACATGCGGTGTTTGGTTTTCTGTTCTGCAAACCAGCAAGATATTTAATATACATTTTTCTTTGTCATTACTTCAGCAGGTGGTAAAAAATGTCAGTTAACGGTGTCTCAGTTATACATAAACAGCTTAAATTATTAGCATTGCTATAATTTTACTATTCTGTCATCTAAATCTAAAATCAGTCTTCAGGATAAAAACAAATGTCCTTTGCCAAAATGTTTTTTTAATTGCACAATTAATTGACATTAACTGCCAGTTCTTTTTGGCTGATTGACTAATTTTAACTTCTGTGTTGCTCTTCCAGAGGCATGGCTATTGCACCTTGGGAGAGGCCTTTAATCGGTTAGACTTCTCAAGTGCAATTCAAGATATCCGAAGGTTTAATTATGTGGTCAAAGTAAGTGTTCTACATGAAAAACTACTTTGATGACTCTTTTGAACAATTATATTTTGAAGATTGTAAGTGTACAACGTTTAAGATGCTTTTGGCAGCTTGAAGGTGTGCCTGTTTGCTGCATATAATCGAAAAACAGAAGGGAACAAGTTCAGGAGAAAACAGTGAGATTGGAGGATTTCTCCAGTGTTGGTGGCAGAGGTTGCAGAGCCTCAGTAGGAGCAAACAGTCATCTCCCTGTGGCTCTGTGGTTGCTGAGGATGCCACAAAGTGGTCCCCCGGGGGTTGCACCATGCATCTACGTACTGTGTCAGTGATAGAACGGTCATGGGATCTTTACCTGATGATTTCGCAAATGTTTTCTGCTTCACGTTTTTCACAAAGAATGAGCCTTACGTCACAGAGGAAGAAGTAGCTAATAGAAAACAGGAATTTCATACAAAATAGAATTCCACAAAAGCCTTATTGCATTAGTGATATCCTTTTGGAAGAAACTTTTATCTTGGGCCACACTCAGAAAGGATCATAGCCATATATTCCACTTATTGTTTGCTTTTGTCTAAAGATTAATTACTATGTGATTTATGCACCTTCATTCTATGGATAAAATAGAAGCTATAGTTTATGAAGCTATTAATTTTGTGTTTCTAATGGTTCTGTGAGACATTGGAAAATGTTTCCTTTAATTGCTTTTAGACATTTAAAAGTGCTACTGGGAGGACAGAAAATTTAGGGAAATAAATAACTGTAAGTCTTAGATAATTTTATTTGTTATGTTTGGTTCTGAACAGAATTTCCAGGGCTTCTTATGTAACTACTACTTACAACTCCTGTTGTGCTCCATTCTTCACTGAAGCCCAGCCAACACATGCAGGCTGGACTTCCCCGGTGTTTTCTGAGTCCTCCTTTAGATATTTACACGCTGGCCAGCAGGGTGTTCTCGATAGGTACCTTTCTTGTAGATGATGGAATGCACATTTGACTCAGCCTTGTGGAAATTTTCAAGACTTAAGTAGGCAGGAAAAACATCAGCAGAGAGGTCTGTTTGGCAGTAACTATTTCTCCATGTAGCTCTCTGATAGTTCAGACCATACTGAGTTGCTTTATAGTAGCAATTCTCGACCGTCTGTCTACATAAAAGGATTTAATTCTTGGTGTGAGTGAGAGAGTAGGATGGGGCACAGGAGGAAGTCATTGGCTCCTGGTGATTTCTGTGCTGGGTGCCCTGCTCTGTCATCTTTGGTCACTGACTCTGGAGAAGGCGTGAGTGTTTTGTGCTTTATCAGAGGGGGAGTCCATAGACCAGGGCCAGTATTTTATCAGTTTCAGTCATTTGAATGACTGCATGTTTTTTTTTGTCTGTGTACCACATACTACTATAATTTGCTAAGTAGCTTTTCTTCAAATTTACTTTTTTAAACAGAAATACCTACTTTAGCCTCATCCTAAACACTAATACCTGTGAAATGGTAAATTTTCTGTCGGTCGTTTGTCTAATACATATAAAATAAATGCATAACTATAAAAATTAAAGTGTGCTATGCACTCATGTACCAACTAAACTTACCTTGCAACCGTCTTGAGAAGGGCTGTGTTTCTCCAAACCACCTCTCAGAGGTGGAGCAAGGGAACTGGTGAGCCTAGGAAGCAAAAGGGCTGCATTGTTGCATGACTGTCCCAGCAGCCTCACAGGTCTGTGCATCTCTGTTGATTGCTGCCTTCGAAGCAGAGCCTTGCTTGGCTCATCTGTGTTCCTGCTCTGTGGGAATCCCACCTTCCCTCTCCTGCAGTACGAGTCCAGCAAAGTTACCTCTAAAAGGTGATTTGCTCATGCTTACCTTCTGCTAAAAACAAAAACAAGCAGCAGCCTTTGTGACTGTGGGAAAGCCTGAGCCTGTGTCTTGCCTTGGATTGAGCTCCTGCATGTCCCCATCCTAATTCTGCCCTCCCTGGCCCATGCCAGTACCCTCTTCCATTGGCTTTCTTTCAGTGTGTACTATTTTTTTTTTCACTTTATCAAGTGTATTTATCATGCATGCTGTGCAGGTGTTTGGTATTTGTTTGCTGTTTTAAATGTTTATAGCAGCACTTACTGCAACAACTGAGAGGATTCTCTTGGAATTCTTCTAAATAATATGATTTTCCATAATTTAGGCTAAGTTGTCCATAATGTCACTCAGTATTATTAGAATACCTATAAACTAGAAACGTAGAAGCAGTTTTTTGAAATGCTTGATAAAAGGTTTCCTTTTTTTCTAACAGCATTTAGTAATATCTGCCCTTAAGAATTTGTGTGCAAAACTTAATATGTATCTTTTTTGGTTTTTTTTGTTTTGTTTTGTTTTTTTTAGGTAGATTCTCACTCTGTTGCCCAGGGTGGAGTGCAGTGGCACGATCTCTGCTCACTGCAACCTCTGCTTCCTGGGTTCAAGTGATTCTCCTGCCTCAGCCTCCTGAGTAGCTGGGATTACAGGCATGCACCATGATGCCTGGCTAATTCTTTTTTGTATTTTTAGTACAGATGGGGTTTCACCATGTTGGCCAGGCTGGTCTCAAACTCCTGACCTTAAGTGATCCACCTGCCTCGGCCTCCCAAAGTGCTGGGATTACAGGTGTGAGCCACCATGCCCAGCCTGTATCTTTCAACTAACATTTTGTTTTATGTAAAATCATTTTGTCCATCTAAACTTACGAATTTTAAACTGAGACTAATCAATAATTACTAGTCTTAGGATAAAAGCTAGTATAGAATATAGTGTTCAATTACAGATTGTTTCAGTTGTCAAAGATACGTAGTTTGGAATGGAAATTTCGTTTTTACTCTAATCTTTGAAGTTGAGTTTGAGCCAGGTGTGGTGTTAGAGGCGTAAAATGGCCCCAGCTTTTGTTCACTGTCCAGGGGCAGATGCTCTTCACTCAAGGCAAGAGGAGCCCGTCAGTGTTGGCATCGCTGAGCACCTCCTGTGTGCAGATCAACGTACCTTGTCTTTTCTAACTAATCCTTTCAAGAAACTTTGAAATCCAGTTCTATTCACACTCCCATCATGAATCTTGTTTGCCAGTGATCACAGGGTTTTGGCAATACCAACGCAAGCCTACCTGGCTGGGACCTTGGCCTCGCCACCCCCATCATATCAGCAGCACCTCCCTGGCCCTCAGGTGTGCCAGTGGTCACGTGTTTAAGTTGTCTGTATCCCCGTCCCAGTTGAGCCCCAGGAGCAGGGGCTTGGTTTGTTCACTGCTGTTCACCCACTGCTGAAAATAACACCCCGTTTGTCAAAGTGGAGTAAGTATGTCCCAGCTGCAGTGAGGAGCTGCACTTCATGAACTCGGAGGTGCCCAGCAAACCCAGGACGGCTGTAAACACAGAGAGGGAGACCAGTACCCAAAAGCTGTCTGGAGGAAGTAGAACTGGGTCCTGAGCCTGTAGGTTAATGTGACTGTGGGTTTTACACATTTGTTGTCATTCCCTTGGAGTCCTGGGCTTGCTTATAGCACTGAGAAGAACAGCCTGCTCCCTCGCCCCACTGGCAGTCAGGAGGTGGCTTCTGACAGCCAGGCACGAACAGCCCCAGGCTTGGGAGGTGCATGCAGGGCAGTGCACGGCATGAAAGCTTCCTGAAAGCTGCACGGTGTGCAACTGAAATTTATAAAAATGTTAAGTATGCTGTGTTTGCTACACACATCTGTAGGAAAAACGTTTTCAGAATTGTAAAGTTTGTATATCTAATTTTAGTTATTTGGTAAATTATCTGAAGTACTTCATTCTCTGCCTATGGCTGGACCAATTAGATAGTACATCCAGTGTCACATACTTTCAGGGGTAGAGTATTTTTAGTTTAGTGTCTTGCCACCATTTATTTTTATGTTTTCATTTGCTTTAGATGTAGGCAAAGAGTCGGTCACTGTTGTCTTTATTCAAAACTTTCTGTGTCCCTGGGCGTTGCTCTGCCCCTCCAAGACCCCCCAGTCCTGTTTCCTTTAGCCCGCCCGCTCCTCACGTCTGGAGATGGACTTCTGCTTCCCAGTATCCCAGGGATCTATTAAATGGGGAAAAGTGGCCGGGTGCAGTGACTCACACCTGCAATCCCAGCACTTTGGGAGGCCGAGGCAGGAGGCCAGCCTGGGCAACATAGGGAGACCCTGTTTGTACAGATAATAATAAGCAAGTAAGGAAAGACATCTCAGGCTAGAATCTCTGGCTATCTGAAGATTTTTTTTTTCAATTTTTTTCATAATTTCTGCTAATGACTACGCCATAGCAGCAAGTTAATAGCAGCAGCCTCACAGCAGCGCATGGGAAAGATGCTCAGTGAGTGACCCTCAGCCCTCCCCGGTGTGGACTTGAGGGTGAGGCGGGGAGGGAGAGAGGCTCTGCAACCACATGGCCGCTGTTGGAGTCTCTCTCTTTCTTACTTATTTACTCAGGGATCTCAAGCATATGACTTCATTATCTCATCCATAGTATCTGGTAGATTTTAGCATCTACCTCAGAGCACTGTTATAAAGATTAGATTATTCCATCATAGGAAGCTCTTCGAACAGTCTGTACTCTGTGTTAGCCACTATTTTTATTTTCTTTTGAGGAGGATTTAGGCAGAGGGATGACAGCTGCATGGAGATCCATTTATGACCCAAGAGGTAAAGATGAGAAAATGGGGCCCAGAGAGATGGGCTGAAGGTCACAATGGAATCAAGGACAGAGACCAAAAGTGCAGTCATCCTGACAGCCGTGAAGAGCTTTTTCATTAAGATGTCATTTTCTAAGTCTATAAACTTTGATTTTCCTCTCATGTAAATTAAGTGACTTTCTTAAATGCGTCATGACTTTTTTTTTTCAATTTTTTTTTTTTTTAATTTAAGTTCTGGGATACATGTACAGAATGTGCAGGTTTGTTACAGGTATACACATGCCATGGTGGTTTGCTGCACCCATCAACCCGTCATCTCCTTTAGGTATTTCTCTTAATGCTATCCCTCCTCTAGCCCCCGAACCCCCGACA